TCGCGGGAACATGCCACCACACCCAGCCTGTTTGGTTGACCAGAAACTGAATGTGGTGAGACCTCCGCATGGCATGAAGCCTCAGCTGCCTGCACTGTGGGGCCCTCCTGCTTGTGCCAGTGTAGCCAGGCCTATGTTTTATTTTTTAAAAATACCGTAGTTCCATCTACTTCAGAAGCTGTGGCAGAAAGATTGTGAATTCAAGACTAGCCTGGATAGTGGAGCAGTATCCTATCTCTATATTAAAAAAAAGCAACACAAAACTTTCCTTTTCTCTATTCGCCAGCTTAAGCCTTCTCTAGTGTATTTTGGTATACTCTTTGAGAAAAGAATTTTATATTATTTAGGAAGGGTTTTTAAATTCTGACTTTTTAATAATTAAAAATTTCAAATATCCAGGTAAGTTGGGAAAATATCCTATTGAATTCTCATATACTCATTACCTGGGTTCAACAGTGAAGATTTTATCATATTTGTATCAACTTTTTGCTAAAATATTTAAAGCAAATTAGGGTATCGTGACTTTTTTCTCTTATTCTTCAGTATAAATCTCTAAAAAATAAGGACATTTTTCTATAAAATTCACAGTACCAAAATTTTTGTTTTTGTTTTTGAATTGCTAGGGTGCATAGGTGCTTGCCAGGGTGGGGGTAGGAGTGGGGGGGTGAAGTACCCCCCCCCCAGGGATGTGGTCATGCCACAATTCCTTTTTTTTCCCTGTCTTCAAGCTGCTAGAGCTAGGATTTGACTATAGTCAGCCATATGAGATCTGACTCCTTAACCATTAGGCTACAGGGCCAGCCCTTCAGTACCAGAATCTTAATTATTGTTCCAATGTGACCATAGTGTATTTTTACTTGAAATTTCAACTGTTCAGAGGGCATGCAAAGGACACTTGTACTCAAAAGCTCTTGGGCTATGTGTTTGATTAGAGACAGAATTCAGTGGGCAAATAAGGTAGAGAAATGTTAGTAAAGAGGATACTGGTTCTGAAAATGTGCTTTTGATAAATGACAGTATTTATGGCAACCATATTCATTCAAGAAAAATGTGTTAGAAGTTTAACATGTCAGGATTCCAAATTCAATGTAAATTCTCAAATGGTATCCTGTGTTAATAAAGCTATCATAAAGTTTATGTCAGAATTTGGACTATGGATCAGAAAGTGAAAAATATCTTCTAGAGCAGAATATAATGTTGTAACCCTATCTTAATTAAAACAAGTTATGTTACAAAATTAAATATAAGAACTTTTTTTCCTATGTTTTCATGTTGAAGAAATATATGTTGACTCTCGGTCATAGGTAAATGGTTCAAACAAAATTGATCTGGCATGTTGTAGTAATCCCTCTAATTTGCTCCCAGGTGCAAATATTTTCTTTTTTTACTATTTAAATTTATTTATTTACATTAATTCACTGTACATCATGACAACATACAAAATGAGATTTTCCATCCAGAGTACACTGTATATTGGCTCAGTCAAGCACATCAGCATACATGCTATCGTCAACAAATAATTTTCCATTTCTTGTTTCCTATATGTTTTGCCTTTTTTTCTTCATCCTTGATTCACTATCTCTTACCCTTAAATAACTCCTTTTCTTTAGTCTGCTTAAGGATGGTAATTCCATATCTTCGATTATTATTTTTAGTAGCCTTATAAATTATTGCATGGGTCGAGTATTCCTAATCTGAAAATCCAAAATGCTACAAAATCTGAAACTTTTGGAGTACTGACATTATTTCCTGACACAGAGAAGAAAGAGAGATGTGTGCACTCTCAATTACGTCTCATTACACTGCAATCTCCCACCCCTGCCCTCTAGCCAACCGGAATCATGTTCGCACATGTGCATGCACACCCAGTATGTTTGGGAGGTCTTAGGTTCTGAACCCTGGTCTTGATGGCCTCCAGCATTCCAGACCAGCAACTGTCTATCAGTGCCACTGTAGTTGGGCCTCAGTTTTTACTTTCTAATATTTAATAACTCGGTGCTTGTAGCAATAGATAAATTATTGAAACTTTTGCACTTTAGAAAGTAACTTTGCAGGGCCAGCAGGTGGTGTGATTGTTAAGGTGCTAAGATGCTGGACTCTCACATGAGCAACCATGCCACAGTCCCTTCTCCTCCATTTTCCTCTTGGGATTTTGGGCATGTACACACATTCACCTGGTTTGAGTTTCAAGCCCCTAGATCCAGGACTTGAGCCATGGTCAGCTTTTTGAGAGTCCAGAGCCTTAACCAGTATGCCACCTGCTGGCCCCTTCCATAAACTTTTTAAAGGCCCCTTATATATGCAAGTATTCTAAACAGCCACCACCACCCTCCACTCCAAAGAAAAGGGAACTAAAGTCAAATAAATTTCTGGTCCCTAAGCATTTTTGGTAAGCGATATTCAGTCTGTAATTAATAATCACTTGGAATCTTTAGTATTTAAATTGCTTCTAAAATTCTAGTGTTTAGAAGTGCTTGAAATTATAGTATTTAAAATTCATATAGATACAATGTTAATAATATACTTCCTTTGAAGTTTATTTCAACTCGTGGTAGTGCGATATTATCTTACATACCTTGATACCTCCATAATGATGACCTTAAGTAAAACTGAAATAGGTAACCCTTAGAGAGGGCACTCTTTCTTTCTTTCTATACTTCATAGTTTATTCCCAAGTACTTCTGTGCTGGCTATCCCTCTTTTTAAAATTTTTTTATTTTTGTTAAGGTTTTTGCCATAGAGCACATGTGCTCACTGGAGAAAGAGACAATGGGAGGGAAAGTGAGAAATTGCCCCCTAGGAGGGATGGCCCCACTGCTGTCCCTTCTGCTCCTTTCTCCTCCTGGGATCTTGGGCACGCATGCACATGCGTGTGGTGTGAGTTTCAAGCCACCGGGTCTGGGACTCATACCATGGTTGGCCATATGGGAGTCCAGCAGTGTAACCGTTCTGCCATCTACTGGCCTTGCTCTTCATTTTTCAAGGTGTTCTTTTACATCTTTTTTTTTCTTCTGAAAGTTCCTATACATCTTCTTTCAACCTTATTCTCAACAAAAAGCTTTACATCCCAGTAAAACTAGAAGCAATGAGAAAATAATTTCTGCTAGCTTCTACTTGCATCTGAACCTCTAACTGCATTTGGTTCCTTTTTGTCTATCTTCTCTATGCTCCATTCCTAAACTGTGTGTGCTCCTGAATAGAGCCATCCCTTTACTTTTCTAGTAAATCATACTCTTGCCTATATAAGAAAACTGCTCCAGAAATTATTTTATTACACATCAGTATTATCATCTTTGTTGAGTTAGTACTATCAAAATTCATTCATTTGGAAAATATTGAGTGTCTACTATGTGTTAAGCACAGTTCTATCAGTGGAGTTCTAGCTAGTTGAAGAGATAGCCAGTGAACAAGAAAGATACTAAAGAAATTAGTCATCTCATACATTAGAAGATAATATGCTATGGAAAATAAAACAGTAGCACGCATAAGAGAAGTTGGGGAGTCCTGTGTAAGGTTTGCAGACTGCAGTATGAAATAATATAGTTAAGGTTGACCTCAATGTGAAGGTTAGATTTGATCTAAATTTGAGGGAAGTGAAGGGAAAGAATACCATGCAGAGGACACAGCTTAACACAAATCCATAAGTAGAGAGAGCACGTAGCACACTGTTGAGGAAATGGAGGCAATCTAGGGAGACTGGCATAGTGACCCAAAAGGGAGGACTAGGAGAGGAGGTCAGAAATGTGAGCATGGCAGGTGGATGGGCCAGATGATGTAAGACTCTTATTGGTTATTGAAGATCTTTGTCTTCTATACTTAGCGAATGGAAACACTATAGAATTTTTTCCCACATGTTTAAGATTTCTTTTGTGTTGAGAAGCAAACTGTAGTGCTGGGCACAGGACAAGCTGGCCGAAGGTTTTTGGAGTCATCAGGTGAGATATAATGATGGCTTAGTCCAGGGTGGTAGAGCTGGTGAGAAATGAAGAGCATCTGCATGTTTTGAAAGTAGAGTCATCAGGATATTCCAGGAGTGAATGTGATGTGAGAGAAGAGAGGACTCCAGGGTGACTCCGAGGTTTTTGGCTTGAGCATTTGAAAGGACGAAGGTGTAATCATCTGAGTTAAAGCCATAATAGAAGTTGGCAGAGGGAGAAGGGGTGAGAGAAGTCAGTTTACTTTCTGGCATGTTCAGATGTCTCTTAGCACACAGTTTCTGGCATTCAGTAACTTATGCAGCCTCTCAACATCTCTGAGTAGGAAGATTCTGTTTTCATGGCATTTGAAGAAGTTCAGGCATTGGGTAATGAGAATCTGAAGTAGAATTGCATCAGTGGAAAAACCAAGTAATGCTAAATATTACCAATATGAAAAAAGAAGATCATCTTTCAGTCTGTGTAAAAGAGAAGAATTAAGAAAGCCAGGAGAAGGAGTTTGTTTTGGTGTAAAAATGTTCTGAAAATCCATACTTAGTTTTTTTCATAATATGAGTTTCTCATGAACTTTTTGAAAACCCCTCATTTTATAAGACAGTATGCGCTAAGTGGAAAACAGGAGTGAGTAATCAGTGAAGAGAATATAGAGGAGGAAATGGTCAGTCTAAGGTCAGGTGTTACAGAAGGTCCAGAAAGCATAGAATTTGATCTGACCTTAAAGGACAAGTATACTTTCATTATTGTGATCACATATGAATAGGGGTAAAATAAATAGAAGGCCTTACAGATAGCAAGAACAGCTTGAGCAAAAGTATAAATATAGAAAAGATACCTTTAGGGAACATTAAATAGTCCAGTTTTGCTAGTTATTCTGGCTAGAATGTGTAATGGGTTGGGAAAGAATGCTAAAGTCAGATTTTGAATAACTTTGTGTAGAGATTCATAGAAAATTGGGGATTGCATTGGTTTTGTTTAGAATTAAATGCTATATGTTCTCAAGGGTTTACTTCTTGGTTTAAATACATTTAAGCGTATATTTTAGATGATACTCTGTTTCATTTCTAGAGTGCCAGTTAATGAAAACAGAACGACCAAAGCCAAACACTTTTATTATCAGATGTCTCCAATGGACCACTGTTATAGAGAGAACATTTCATGTAGATACTCCAGAGGAAAGGTAAGAATCCCCCTTTTCATTTTGTAAAAAAGCAGTAATCAATCTAAGATGTATTTGTTTCTGACTTCACCATTGATAAGTATATTTTTAAAATGCTATACTCTTGCTCTGTTTCTGACATAATATCAATATACAAATAGTAAGCACTTACAGTTTTATATATCATACCTTTATAGCTTAATAGCAAGTGGACGCCTGGAGTATTTATTATGTTGAGAAGAATTCTGAGACTGGGTTTGTAAACTCAGTGTGGGGGGTAGTGTCTTCACTGCTAAAGAGAGAAGTAGCTATTTATTGATAACTAGTCCACCTACTTCAAGGTTATCCTCCTTATCTACTATCAGTTTTCGCAACCAGTTATTCTCCTTATCTGCTGTCAATCTTTGTAACCACCTCTCTGCTTCCCAATTCTTTTCCTCCTTTATTCATAGAGTTTATGAGCATGCAAGAGAAAGAGATGAGCACCCTCCATAGTCCTCTAATCCCCCAGCCTGTTGGATCCTGGGCATTTGCACATGTCCCTGTCATATGTCAGGTCAAACTGCAGTTGCCATTTGGGATCTTGCTTCTCTTCAGCAGTTCATTACCACTGTGCCATAGATGCCTTCTCTTTCTATCTTAATATTTTTTTATCTGGTGGCTGTGATACCAAGTTATGTCCCGTGACCATAGTCACAAAATCATTTTCTCACATATAGTTTATATTTGTTCCTAATCAGCAACTTCATGAAGTTAAATGTTAATAGTCTTATTCTCCAAATGAATAAATTTTAACAGGATTGGCTAAGATTAAACAACAACAACGCAACAAAAAACCTGCTACTATGATGACTACCAAGCTAATGAGAGGAGAAAGTAAGTCACAAAGCATTAAGTAGCATGGAGTTATAGTATGTAAGTAGACTGTGTATGCTAGGGATTTACATAAGAGTAATGCAGAAGGGCTAGATGGTGGCACAGTGGTAAATTGTGATGCTCTGTGAGGAAGTCCCACATAGGAAGGTTTCTGGTTGAAGTCTGGAGACTTTCCTGAGTCTATCTGGCCTGTGCTTGTTAATGATCCTGGATTGGCTGAAAACTAGGCATAGATTGGAATCAAGACCCTACTGGGGATGCTGACTCTTTCTTTCTCCTCCTTATGGAAAAAATAAACTTATTTTTTAGAGAGATTTTTGATATAGGGTATGTACTCTCGCTGGAAAGATAGACAGAAAATGAGAAATTACCACCCAGAAAGGATGGCCATGCTACAATCCTTTCTACTCCATTCTCCACTCAGGATTTTGAGCATGCGTGTACACATGCCTGGCATAAATTTCAAGCCACTGGGTCCAGGACTCAAACCAGTCGACCATGTAAGAGTCCAGCACTTTAACCACCGGACCATCTACTGGCCCCAATAAATAAAGTTTTAAAATGGGGGTGGGGGGGAGCCAAAAAGCTAATAGGAAAATTAAAATGGGATTTTGAAAACAGCTTAAAATGATTTTTAAAAAAGCCGGGAAAGAGAGGGAAATAAAAGCCAAAAAGAAAGAGAAAGCTACAGCTAGGTTGAAAAATAAACGGATTGGGAACCAGCAGGTGGCATGGTGGTTAAGACGCTGGACACTCCCACATAGCCAACCATGGCTCGAGTCCCAGACCTGGTGGTTTGCTTTCTCACTTTCTCTCTCTCTTTCTCTGTCTTTCTCTGGTCAAATTAAAATAAAATTAATGAATGAATTAATAAATAAATAAAATGAAATAAATAATTATTTTTAAAAAGAGAAAAATAAATGGATTGAAAAGATCATAGAAATATTAACCATAAGGAGAATTGGATTTTCTATATTATATCATATTTCAAAATAAAATGTATTACTAGAAATTATTGGGGCATTTTATAGTGCAAAAAGGGTCAGTTGGACTGGAAGATAGAACAGCCACCAATCTGTATGCACACAGTAACAGAATTATAGAGGGAAAAAATAGGCAAATTCTACAACCATATTTGGGGATTTAAAACTCATCAACAGTTGTTAGAGCAGCTACTCAAAAAGTCAGCTAAGATATAGAATAACACTAAAACCACCTTGATATAATTGATACTTACAGAACACTACATCCCAAAGTGACAAAATACCCAATGTTTTTAAGTGTGTATGTTACATTCATTAGAATAGACCAAATTCTTGATCATAAAACAATGCTCAATACTTGAAAAAATTGAAATTATACAATGCATGTTTTCTAAGCATAGTAGAATTACTTAGAAGTGAGTAACAATAAGAAAATAAAATAACCTTGTAGTTAGAAGTTAAACAACATGATTTTTCATAATCATGCAGTCAAAACCAGAATTCCTAAGAGGTATTAGAAGATAGTTTTATATGAGTACTAATGAAAATAAAACAGTATCAATTTGTGGAATGTAGGTAAATGAGTGCTCAGTGTTAAATGTCTGTATTTGAAAAAAAAAAAATTCTCAGTTCCTTAACCTAAGGTTTCATTTTAAGAAAGTAGAAAAGTAATTTAAACCAAAAATAAATGGAAAAGGAGCCAATGAAATAGAAAACAGAAAAGTAATAGAGAATAACCAATAAAACTAAAGGTAGTTCTTTGAAGAGAAGCAATAGAATTGAAGAATATCTTAGAAAATTGTTAAAGGGAGGAGGGTGAGAGAGGTAATACACGAATTACCAAAACTGATCTGAAAAACAGAAAACTGGAACAGCCCACTATGAATGGAATGGAACTAGTAATTAAGAACCTTTTCTCAAAAATCCCAAGTGTAGATGACTTCACTGTTAAATTCTATTTAATATTTAAAGAAGAACTGACTAATTCTGTGTAAACTATTTCAGAAGATAATGGAGTAGAGGATACTTCCCAGTCCATTTTATAAGGCTACTGTTACCTTCATTTCAACAACTGGGCAAAGCTATCATAAGATAAAACAACTATAGCTCAATATATTTTTTAACATAAATATAAAGTTTCTTAACAAAATATTAACAAATCAAACTCAAATGTGAAAAGGGTAATACATCATGACTAAATGGAGCATATCCCAATAATTGAAAAATTGTTTTAACATCTAGAAATCAGTCAACTAAATTCATCATATTAATAGAATAAAGGAGAAAAACTGTATGACCATTCCAGTAAGTATAGGAAAAGCATGTGATAAAATTCAACTTTCATAACAAAGTATGCACCTGACCAGAAATAGAAAGAAATTTCACTGAATTGACTAAGAACAAAGGTGAAAGGGTGAAAGGCTTAGTGCTATCTCCTAACTTCTGAAACACAGCCAGGATGTCTGCTCTCTGACTTAATACTGTACTGAAGGTTTGATCTAGAGCAATATGGCAAGAAGATGTAAAATCATACCAATTGAAAAGGAAGAAGTAAAATTGTCCTTATTTGTAGACAATGTAGTTGCATGTGCTTAAAAAAAAAAAATCCAGAAAAATAAAAAGCTACTAGAAGTGGTAAATGAACTTGGTTCATATATTGAGATTATATATCACAGCTTTATTTCATCAATGAAGCTGTAGCACATGGAATCTATATACAAAAATCATTTGTATTTCAAAATACATGCCACCAAGAAGAATTAGAAAGTGAAACTAAAAAGAAGAAATTCTACAGTAGTATAAAAAAGTACTTTGAAATATGTTCAGTTGAGGTTGTGACAGACATTTTTACATAGGAAATTATACACAAAATTACAGACACTACATTGGGAAATTTAAACCCTGTATAAACGGGGAGCTATACCATGTTTGCAGATTGGATGCCTTAACTTAGTAAAAATGGCAGTTCCTCCAAAATTGATCTATAGCTTTAGTGTAGTTCCAGTCAAAATTATAATAGACTTTAGAAATAAACAAACTAATTCAAACAATTTAATAGGAAAAAGTGATTGAGATGATGGCAGCACTGCTAAAAAAATAAAAATAATAAATAAAAACTTGCTGCAGGTGCTCCTGAGAGTTATTTTTAGGCAAAAAGCTATAGCTTCCCCCCCTTTTTTCTTTATTTAAGAAATTTATCATTTGGTAACAGTGAAAATTTTTGACTTTGGAAACCTTTTATTGAAACTTTTTTTTGATCACATAAAGATATTGATTATGTCCGAGATCAACTTAAAATGACTAAACAAAACATTTTTAAAAAACCTCTGCATACTTTTTGGGGTCTATTTACTTAATAGGTAAAATGTATACAGACAAAACTATACTTTTAAATGGTTTTAACTCTGAACCAGCAGTTGGTATAATGGCTATATTGCTGGACTCCCATGTAGTTGACCACAGTTCAAGACCCGGTGGCTTAAACTCACACCGGTCGCATGTGCATGCATGTTTCAAGATCCTAAGAGGAGAATGGAGAAGAAGGGATTGTGGCATGGCCAACCCCCTGGGGGGTGATTTCTCACTTTTTGTCTCTCTCTCTGTCTGTCTGTCTTTCTGGCAAGTGCACACACCCTATAACAAAAACCTCTCCAAAAAAAAAAAAAAAGGTTTTAACTGGATAATAATTGGGTTGATTTAATATTTTATAAAAGGAAAATATTTTAACATTTACCATATTCTATTAATGGAATATTTTACTCATATTTATAGAGAAGAATGGACAGAAGCTATCCAGGCTGTAGCAGACAGACTGCAGAGGCAAGAAGAGGAGAGAATGAATTGTAGTCCAACTTCACAAATTGATAATATAGGGGAGGAAGAGATGGATGCTTCTACAACCCATCATAAAAGAAAGGTAAATGAGAATTTATTTCCCTGCTCAGTACAATATTTGTATGTCTAGAAAAAATATGCTAAAAACTACCATTTGTAGAGATGTCAGGCAATTTTCTTACTCTATGTAAATAACTATTTGGGTGGATTTTTATCCATGTGAATCTGAAATACCTGTTGTCATTTGAAGTCAAGTCCTTAAACATCACCACACTTGCATGGTTCAGTGCATTAGCACTCAGTGCTGACAGGGCTGGTGAGGGGATCCTGACTGCTGTGCCATCACAGTGCTTCACGTTTTCTTCTTTGTCTTATTGTCTTTAATACCATTTTAGAAACTTGGAAATAAACGGTTTTCCCTGATGATTTGGTCCCCTTCCATTTGGCATTCTGTGTTCTGAAAGCAGAAGCAGAAATGACTCTGGTGTGTTCCTTGCTTGGTGCCTTCAGCCTCATAAAGTCAGCAG